TGGATACTGAACAAGGCATTATTATCTCCTCAACAAAAGAGAGCAATCATGATTGTATATCAAGTTCTTCTCAAATTGCCAAGAGGTATCTTTACGAAAATCATGAAATAAATGATTACTTGGCAGGTCTATTTAGGCTTGAGATACCATAGTGTTATGGAAAGAGATTTCACAACTTTCAACTGTTGGCCAACAAACGTTATTAAGAAATTCTATTTTGTACATTTCGGTTAAACATTACCAAAATATTGGTTTTTTCAACATTTGATAATATGGAGATTGTTCATCAGTTAATAGTTCAACAATTCCTTCATAATCTAAGGAGAGCATTAATTTTGAATTTAGTAATGATGATGATTCTGATCTTTTTTCAGATTGTTGATTAGTCAAAATTGAATGTGGGAAACACATTGATTGGAAATTATATCTACAACCATTATTACTGTCCGTACTTTCCTTTGGATGAACAATGGTATTCAAAACACTACCTTCGCTATTAGAAACCTTCATTCCATTCGTTTCATTTTCTGTATCAGTTTTCTCTGAAACATGAAAATGAAACAAAGATTCAATAATTTTACTTGACATCATTTCACTATTTGACCTCTGAATTGTATTAAAATCCATTACTGTATATTCTTCATTCCTACTAATTTCATCTCTACATTTAGTTTTGTTTAGTTTACTATTTGGCACCATAACAAAGTAAAATTGTTTGAATTTATCGTGGTCGATTTGTTTTCTCAATTTTGAAGGGATTTTCCTGCTCAACCCACTTGGCATTTGTTCGTTTTTTTTCTGAGCCTTGTGTTGGATTTTCTGTGGGATACTTTATTCGATACTATGACTTACTATCTTGAGCACAAAGCATGGCTTACAATCTCTCTCAAATGTTCCTTTTGTGAACGAGTCAGTACAAACATTAACACGAATCAATGCAAACAATACAATTAAAGAAACTCAACCAATCAACAGGTGAACGATTGGAGCATAAAAAAGAGAGATTTAATCTCCATGTAAGGGTACACTTATTTCCTATTTTGAGATTCAAAATTGTCTTCGTCAGTCATTAAACACATCATTACCCTTCACACAACAGAAAACAATGTTCACATATGCATGCATGTAACTCATAATACTCAACGCATTCAATTTGTTGCATGTGCATGTGTGCATGTGTTAACTGGTTATGTAAAGACTTGTTTCATCAGTGAAAGTACTCATGTCGGATAACAATGAAATACATGCTATACATGGAGCTCCACATGCGCCAATATTTAACAATTAATTGATGAACTGAACTCGTGTGTTATAATTAATATTGAAAGTCATCAAAGATTAAAACCTGCAATCAAAGAGTGGAATATCTTTAAAGGAGCATTATGGACTTTTGAATGGATTTAAAATAGAAAGTGTGTTGAGAATAATTTTCCCGCTCTTCATTTTACAGCAACAAAAATTAGAAGAAAATATTCGAATCCTCAATGTATTTCATCTTTTAATAAGGTTGGTAGGCCACGTCTGGAGATTGAGGATTGAACCAACTTTGAAATCTTTTCAAATAACATCAAGTCTTTATTCAATAATTGCCAAATCCTTAAAATTTTCATCTCACGATCTGGCATTAATCATCATAATTTAATAATTCTCTAATAGTAATTGAGGTTCTTCTTTGTCTTTTTTTATCCATTGATGGTAATGATTGAATTAAAGTTGGTGTTGAAGGCTGCTGCTGATCATTAGAAGACGATTCTTCAATTCGATCTTGATGAAGGCTTGCCACTACTGAATCATCACCTCCGCCACCACTACAAACTGTATTATTATTACCAAATTGTATTTTACCAAATTGATCATCATGATGCGATTCAATTCTCTTTTTCTTTGGTTGTTTTTGAATTCCAGATGAGCAAGTATTCGAAGGCTTGAATGGAAATGAAATGACTTGGAAAGGCTTTGAATTATTTGAAAAGTATTCTGTATATTTACTTGTCATTACTTTACAATTATCATCGACAACATCATCATTGTTAGATCTTCTAGTTGATGTTGGATTGGAAGAACAAAAATCGACAACAGTTAATTTGAGTGCTTTAGACTTTCTTCTATTCGATTGTTTGTTTGGATTCATTGGATAGAATATTCTAGTTGTGTGTTTTCTTTCTATATGGTGTTTAGTATAGTTTACTTTCGTGAAATTGTTGCTGTTTATAACATGGAGATTTCAGTGAAGAATTTGAATCTATAAACTAAAAATGGAAATTTAACAAAAATATTAAGGATATCTAACCATTTATCATGCAAAACTTCATGAATAAAAAACTCAGTTTGAAGATGCGTTTCCATTCCGTACAATTAAGAAATTTGAAACTTCCAATCTCTATGTTAAAATGTAACTAGATAACGAGAATATTCTTTCTGATTGTTATCTGGAATCTTGAAATGATCTTTTGCAAATTATAGAATGGTCTCTTTTCTGAAATGTGAGTATTAAAGTGAACAATGTAACTTTGAGATTCCATGGTTTATTTACTTATGGGTATCCGTGCCGAGGTTCCATTGCTGCTAGGCTGTGTTGTGGATCCACAACTTGATGCTCACACACAACCGAAAACTACATGTCTTGAGAATATTGCATACAAATATGATTAAAAAAACAATTTATTCTAAATGAAATGTCCATACTGGAAAATGAAATTCCATTTGAGTTTGAGCTGGATTTGTATTGGCTGAATTCTTTCTCTTTTGATATTTTCTTCTTCTTTTCAAATGTTTTGGATTTGAAATTACAATACAATTATTGAGTGGAGTTTTGAATGTTGTTGATAATGAACTGTTATTACCAATTGAGGATACATTACTTGTAGATGATGAGGAGGATGAACTTGAGGTTTTTCTCTTTTCTGATTCGAATGAAGATACATTAGAAATCTTTCTCTTTCTCTTTAGAATACGATTATCATTGAATGTATTGTTTACATTAGTTTGTTGTTGGAGTGGCATCATGGATGTTTCAATTGATGATGATGGTGGTGATTGATCCACATATTGTTGATAAGGATTCTTAATGCTCATCAGAAATTGATATGATTCTAAATTGGGTAAAAGTACCTTATCAGCAGTGTCAGTATTAGAAATGGTATTGGTCAGGCTATTTTCGTTATGGTTATTGAATGGTTGAGGAGGTGAGGTGTTAAGAGTCAGAGATAATGTTTCTGTTGGTGATAGGAACAGTTGAGTTGATGGTTGAGGTGATGGAAATACAATATGGGATTTGGATAAGTGTGGTGGAGTGTCCTTCATATCATCATCATGATCATCAATAGGATTCATAACAGTTGAGCTGATGTTAGTACATTGGATATTATTGAAGGCTGACATTTGTTGAATAGAAGGCTTGTCATTAGGCTTTCTATTAAATAATTGTTGCTTTGGATTTGTCATCATCTTTAATAATTCCCAACTCTGCATAAAATCAATAACATCAAGATTCAGACTTGGTTCAACACATTGATTGTTAATTGAGTAGTTTGAGAATGATGATGAAAATTGAGTGACCATTCCACAAAGAACATCAACTGTACAGGTATGAGCAGGAGAGGAATATTCATTTATCCAACTTGAAGTCGAGTTATTGTTCATCATAATGTTTGTTTTTTTGAGAATATTCATTGAATATTTCTTCTGCATAAACTCCAAAGAGAATTGCATCTCGCCCAATTTATTCTCTCATATTTCCAATACTTGATGTACTTGAAGAATAATGTTAGTAATTGAGGTCCTTAAAAATACAAAATCCTTAAACAACTATGCTGTGGCACTCCTTCTTAATAGAATGTCAGTAAGTGTTAGGGTAAATTCTGGTTCATCGTATTTCGAAATTATACAATCTCACTATTACTTGATCATAAATTGTATATTCTTTACAGAAGTT